CCAAAACTATAAAAACTGAAATTTGCAGCAGTAGTGGCAGCAGCAAGAATAAAACTTTGCCAGATTGTTTTGATGATATGGTTCAGGAACTCTGCATGTTTTTCCATCACCTGTAGACCCCGGACTGCACTAGATTTGTTCAGTATTTTCATACACTCTCCCATATTTGCCTAAAGTAGGTCTAACTAACAAAGTTCTGACATGGATAATATCTAATTTGTTCCTTGCTATGCCTCATGGGATCTAAACCAGTTACTATATCCTTCTTTATTTTTATCTAATGTGGAAGAACACATTTCCACTAGCCACTATCTTTCTTACATTTGGACAACATTATCTTTGTTTCAGTATTTAGAGTCAGCTCAGCATGGTAGAAAAGCCAGTAGGCTGACTATCAAGAGACCCAGGTTCTTATCCTTTTATGTTTTGATTCACCTTGTTATGATAGCTTTATGTTATTTAAGTTGTTTTTGTTATAATAATTTCATGACGTATATAAGAAGGTACAAGGATAATGTACTTAAAAGGAAACTTGAAAAACCCAAAAGATAAGAAACAGAAATCAGTTTGAATCCTGATAACAACAGAGTCTCTTCAGGTGCTGTTGACAAGGTAAAAGAGATTCTGCCGTTTCAGTTGTATTTATGCTTTTCTCATGCAGGGCCAAAAATTCCAGAAAGGGAATTTAGCCTATAAGGCTAAAGGGAAGAATGTGAAGGAAAGTAGATCATCTTGATCAATCACCTCGGTAGACTGGTTCTAACAGAAGACTGCTTCCTTCAGTGAAAAATTCAGGTGTTGTTAATGGAAGAAAAAAAAGTTGTCATCAAAATAATAAAATGTATAAAAATATGGCAAAAGTGTCAACTTATTTACTCAATCTTTATGCTTCCAAAGAGATTATCCTAGTATTAGAAATTAGCAGTGAGAAAGTGGTCAGATATCATGGAGATGAATTCTTCTTTGGAAAAACAGATGATAAGCAAATAAATAAATAAACATATATAGTGATCAAAGAGGACAAGGTCTAGTTTTTCTTTGAGACAGGGAAGTCAGGGAAAAACTCATGGAAGCCCGTGTAATAGGACAAAAATAGTGAGTTTCATGTGAAATATTAGAGAGAAATCATAATACTTCAAATTCATAATTATATTTAAACTGAGGCCAGCCACAGTGGTACCCACCTATAATCCCAGTGGCTTGAGGCCTCTTTCCAACCTTACTGTCACTGCATTGGGTCAGCTCATCACCTATCTTTAGTAGCCTATTACTGTGCCTTTCTTACACCATACCATCAGTTTTCTCCTATCAGTTCCTCCATAACTGTCATCAGTGTTGGTTAACCTTTTGAAGTATAATGTTGACTCTTGGAAACTTGCAGTAACATCAGAATTGCTGCTATAGATACTTAATTACTATTCTTATTACCATTCTGGGAAGAATTAGATACTCATTCTAGTTACAGTACTTTGTACACAGCTTATTTAGAGTTCTTGATTTGCTTAATAATTATTATAGGAAGGAGAAAACATCCATTTAAAACAAACAAAAAAATTCTTAGATAAATTGTGTTATCCTGGCTGTTTTGTGGCTTCTGTTTTCTAAAGAGAATTCATGTCTGTAAAAAATAAAATCATTTAGTTTTCTCTCCCTTGCAGAGTATCATACAGGAAGGATCAAAACACACACACACACACACACACACACACACACACACACACACACACAACTTTCTAAAACTCTGTAGGTTCTTCTATTCTGCTGGAGGTTCATACCAAGAGTGAAGAGTTCTTCATTTAATGGGTCTCCTTTGTAAATTTGTATATATGCAAACTGACTATAAAACTAATTTGTTTGCCACCAAAAGTGGCAGGTGATATGAATTTTGAATTTTCAGGTACTGGGTTTAGATGTGGTTTAGATGTGGTATCCCCAAAAAATTCATGTGTGAGACAATGCAAGAAGGCCTGGAGGAGAAATGATTGGGTTATAGCCTTAATATAATTAGTGAATCACTCCCTGATGGGATTAACTGGGTAGTAAATGAAGGCAGGTGGGTTGTGGCTGGAGGAAGTTGTTCACTGGGGGTGAGGCTTTGGGGTATATATTTTGTATCTGGAACTTGGAGTCTCTCTCTTTGCTTTCTGATTGTCATGTGAGCTGCATCCCTCTGCTACACTTAGACATATTATTTAGTCTGCCTTTTTGCTGGGCTATGTTCTGCCTTACCTTTTGCCCCAAGGAATGGAGTCTGCTGTCTCTGGATTGAGACCTTTGAAACTATAAGCCCTTAAGTAAACTGTTCCTCCCGTCTGGTTAGGTCCTTTACTCACAGCAGCAACAAACCTGACTAAAACAAGTACCAACACTAGAGAAAGGGTTTTAGGAAGCCAGTGTAATAGGACAAAAAGAAAAGAGAAAATTTGAGGAAGATGTTGAGCGAGAGAACATCATACAACATCCATACATTTTTGGCTGGAAAATCTTGATAGAAAAACTAGCCAGTGAGATTTTCCAGGACAGAAACGACCAAAGAGCTCATAAGAATAGCTGCATTTTAAATTATCCATTAATCTGTGCACTTATAGGGAAATTGTGTAGATCTTTACCACATCTCTTCCACACCTTCCAGATTATGATGTAGGACCAATCAATTTAGGTGAGATTAGCTTTTTCTCCTCTTTCAACAATGAGAGAAAATTAGTCTAAACAATCAGGTAATCTCATAATGCGTTTTAGAAAGTGACTAG